CCTGGTGGCTTTGAGTGTGCTGCGGGTTATCTACACTTTGGCCACCTCACGACCGGCGTAATCCCTGACTTCCAACGGGAAACGAGGGCAGTGTATCATAAGTGCTTAATATCTAGGCTTAAGCTATGTGGATTCCGAGATTCCTCGTCCTGGTGATTGCGTAAGGATCGCTTCCAATCTTTAGAATGTGTGTGATACATACTGCTACTCGTGCTTGTGACATACGCCCCAAATGCGATAGGATATTTTCATGGTGTATCGTACCAGTGATAACCTCAGGACTACCAGTTACTTTTGCAATAAGACACCGGAGGGCGTCTGTGTGGAAGTTAAAAGTGGTCTCATACGTTTCGTCATGTGGATCGACACCTGCCTATTTCTTTGCAGTTCAGTAAGTGCAAGCTAATGAAACTTTATAAATCCTCAATTGAGTTTGTGATGCAGGGATTACTCATTTAGAAAAACAGAGAAGCATGTATTAGAAACTTTGCCTCTCCAAAGCATACCTAATTTATTGGATATGGAAGGAGAAAAGTTACCGCTCCTCTGCACATGTGCCTGTCTGCATGTGTATGCACTGATGTAAAATAATGATTTCATTGTCATATAGCTGCTTTGACGTTTGTCAAGTTGGTCTGTGAAAACTGAAATAAAAAGAAGCTGACGTTGAAAAGTCACCACTAGCTGTCAAAAATCACTTAGACAATCGCACCGAAACCAGTCAGAACAACGGGAGAAGTTCATTCACAGCTAAATTCATTATAAAATATGACCGTGAGGCTAGACTTCGCGAATAACTTTGTCGCTCGTTCACCATCAAAGTGTACCAGCGACGCATTCAGTGAGATTGATGTGTTCCACGTGAAGGATGTTAGTAAAATTTACGGGAGACGGTTCGACGATTGCTGAAGAATCGTGAAGAAATTGACTACGGGTTACAAGGAAAAGGAAAAGGGCCTCTTCAACTGAGATACGTGTGGTTAAGTTTTACACACTTTTTTTGTCCCTTGAACAGCTCTCCTCAACCTAAGAGTTCGCCTTAATCAGATAGTTCAAAATAATACCGTGTAACGGAAAAATGATCTGAAAATCCCTCCCGATCACCCTTATTTGATTGTATTGACATTTATTTTAACATTTTTACCCTCGTTGTGGATGGTGTACCTTTGACCCTCGCCGGTGTAATGTTATTTGCTTGTTTAACTGTCTTATTTGACTTTACACTCGGTATTTGCCTTTGTATGTTTGAGACTTATTATGAGTGTTTCACTTTCCTATTATGTGACGCTGGACTGTTGATAAGGTGATGTTGTTTTACTGCGCACGACATTTTGTTTTGGTTCAACTTACGGTTGTGCAGTGATTTGACTGTTTGTCTTTTGACTGTCTACTGGGAACGTTTGTTTGTTGATTTGATTCCTGTAGGCAGAGTTTTGATCCCTTTTGCCGGGAATATTCCTATTGACCGACAGGTATTTAACAGTTGTATTTTTTAACCAGTTTTTACCGTGTAGTACGTATTTGTACCCGAGAACGTTTTGGACTGTATAGTTACCCAACGGCACTGTTGAGGTATTTTTGTAATTTGACATAACCTATTGTTGCTTTGATAGTTTCACAGATTTTGTTACGAATCTACTATTGAATTACTACAAACCGTGTTTTGATATTTCGATCCAACCTTTGACTGTGCGTCACTCGCGGAAGTTAGGAAGCTATACAGTAGAACGCAGGAACTAGTCAGATTCACGTCAGTTGGCACCGCCTAGCTATTTCCAGCGTTCAGGCCAAGATTATTGGATTCTGGCCGCTACACCCGTTGTTTTCCGGTGAACCTAAATGATTGACACCGATTGCACGAGAGCCTCAGCTTGCTCCTGTACATTACGTAGCGGCATTATTTGAAGTAAATCTACACGCTCAGTAAGCAAACACCCGCATACCAAACAAACTGATCGCAACGTCTCTAAGTTCCTCACCGCTTTGTCAACACTGTCCAAGATTATTGATAGAAAAGTGGCTAATTTTGTCGATCAGCAGTTCAGAACTTGTATGCTAATGAACTGGAACCGTCCACATCCTAGAAGGTTTCAGACCGAACGTTCCCATAAGTGATGAGTGCAGTCCTTAAAAGCGTCACCAGTTACCAAATAGGCCGTGTTCTACCTCCAGAAATCCTGTCTGTTTTTAAGTTTACGTATGAACGTCACCCTACTGATGGATAAGTACCCACAACTACTCTATTAGCCATGGCCACCTACCGCATAATTTCTTCAGTTTGTTATCCGTATCCTGCGCCTGTCAATGGTCTTTTCTTTCTGCTTTCATTGTCTATGCTTGTAGTTCCCCTCACCTTGTGATTTCAGCAGCTCTTTCCTGCCTCAATTTACGTGAGATCAGATAAACTGCCGCGAAGAGGACCTAGTTCACAGACTAATCCTTTTACGGACTCCTTCATAAACGTGAGCAGACCAATAGTGTTAAACCTGGCGTCGAGGCTGTTAATGTTAAAGGAAATAAAAAACCAGGTACCACAATAGATGTCGCTGAAGTATGGGATCATGTACAAAATGTTTCAGAACTGCTATGTGGTAATTGTTTGGCGTTTTCCGAGCTTTGTTCTCCTGCGTTTCATCATATGGCCAGGTAACTTCATCGGGTTGATTTCGTTTACTTCATCCTTAGCTCAAACCTTCCTCGATGGTTCGGGCTGTTTCGTCTTCGCATTCTTCTTGGATTCCCCACCACCCCCTCAGATTTTACAATTTGAAGTCGAGGAACATAGGCTGTTCATACTACCGCTCTTCATCTTCTTACTTCCACCGCTGTCTCTGCACGTGAGGAGAAAACTGCACTCAGATTCGGAATCAGGAACTCCCTCCGTTTTACCTAAAGTTGATTTTTATTCGGAGCCTTCCATGGCCATTTGAAGTCTAGGGGTCACGACCTTTTCATTCTTAACTGTCCCCAAACTCTTAGTTTTTGATTAGGTAAAAATTCTGAGGAAGACGTTACTTTTTGGGAAAGCACCATGAGGCTTACGCTAAATATATTGTATGTGTTATAATGACTGGGATTTTTTCAATCAGTACCACGTGCTTGAACAATGAAGTTATTCCTGTGTGGAAATCGCCCAGTGTATGGGTTCATACAGTATGAAATGCCATCGTTATCCACTCTCTGATCAAGGTTGATATTCTTGTTTTACACAGCATGTAGCGAAAGCTGGTGTGTCCAGTTACCATGAGTATGTGTACTCCTCAAGGGGCACAAAATGCACACGTCCGCCATGTTGCCAAGTATAGCGGGGAGTAATTTTCCAAATTCAGTGGGCCAGGATTCGACGAAAATCGATACTAATGCTGAACTCAGTGGTTTCAACGGACTGATTGGGCTGCCGACACAGGGTCAAGAACCCATACAACTTACTACTCCGTTGTGGTTTTTCGCTTTGCGCCTACGCGATCCCCAAGCCAGTTAGTTGAAGTGTCTTGGTATTTTTGTAAACTTCACCAAATGTATTGTTCCTAGTTTACCCCACCGTTGCTTTCTTTCTTGGTCTGGCACCCATGAGTGGTTTAAGGGTGCGAATAATTAGTGGTTAACCTTTCATGATCGTCAAGCATGCATAGAGAAGTCCATAAAAAAGCATGTTGGACAGACAGCACTCGCCCACCTTCTTGTAAGAATACCCACCCGCAAGCTGCGCATATAGCGTAGTGATGTCAATATGTTGACACCATCAGTTGGTGGTGGTGTAATAACATCTTGCTCGCGAAAACATTTTGTCGTATTTTTCTTGGTTCATAAATGTAGGCAGTGTGAAACACTGAACCCATGCAAGAACAGACAGAGGATAATAACCAATCTAAGTTGCGCGCAGCTTGTATGACATATGAATTGTGTCACAGGGTTGCTGTGGTGATCGTAACAGTAAACTGCCAGAAATGGCAACCGGAAAACATGTGCCATAGTTTTGTTTTACTCCCTAACTGAAAACATTACTTTCTTACATAAACTGCCGGTCGGTCTATCCACAGTTCAATAAACTGAGGGTTCCAAAGCCAGACTGGAAAGTTAAAAAGAAGTCACAAAACACACTTGTTCAGGTGAAGGATCGAAAGTGGTGCGGAATATAGTTGTCGACCCCACTTTATTACGCGGGATCGTGCCAACTCTACTACCTTTGCACTGCCAGGGCCCTTCAATGATTCAGTCAGTTACATTTCTCTCTCTTTTTAATGTGATAAAGCTATTTTCTCTCTTCTTTCAGCCCCAGTATGTGATGATCACTCTAGATTCGCTTCACAGAATTAGAACTGTTTTGAGATTCAGAGAAGTGCGGGTGCTGAGTAAGGATATAATTCATTTCAGTATTTGTGTTCCCATATAAATGGTAGAAAAAAAATGGTCTGCTCACTGAGTTTACCTTTAGATAAACAAGCTTTATCTCAGTAAGGATGAAGTGGGAGTTACACTATTTAGGTATGTGTGTTTTGACTAGATGAAAGTTCTTCTGTATTATCGATTATTGATTACCAAGTGGTTGAAGAGGACAAGGGATGCTTACAGTATGTTAATTACTTGGAATATTGAATGGAACTTGCAAAATACGTGTGATAAAAGCCCCCGTGGCAGTTGTACAGATAGTTTCATTCTCATACCTGCTATCCTTTCAGAGGTGAGTTATAAATTTGTTCACCAAGTAAGCCAACCATCAACTGTCGATAAAGGTTGCCAAAATAGCATTCTGCGAACAGCAAAGCACGCTGATTTGAAACCAGGTAAAGAGGAGAACTCTCATTAAAATTTTAAGACAGGAAATTATGAACGACTGCTTTCACTAGCACGTAAAAGATGTATTGGACATTAGAAGCACCACTTAACAATATCTAGTTTGTTTACTTTCAGGGTCAGATGTATTTTCAAATGTTGGATCTAGTTTTCGTTTGATGGCATTTTGCTTAGACAGGTTATTGTTCGTTTTCACTTGTAGCTAAATGATGCACTTCATGGCGTCTAAAGTTCGAAGAATGCTTTTGTTGTACAAGAAGGGAAAGGAAAATAGTGATAATGATGACGATTCTACAGTGGTTCAAGATACCAAGGTTATTCCTTTTGACAAGAAAAAGTTCGACCTCAGGAGAGTAGAACTACTTCGCACTGTGGGTAAGCTCAAGAAAATCGTAAATTTGAAGAATTTATCTTGAGAACTAATGTTTTTATACCTTCTACGGATGTGCCACGTCTGACTAAGTGGTCGCAATAAATTTTTGACTTACACTGGAAACTTATGATGACTTATTGATTTTTGGAAATTGACAAGAACCAGGTTTAAGAAAAAAATGTGTTTTCAGAAGTTCAATATCAAATAAACACGAAGTAGGACTCAAACTGGTGGTGAAAATAATTTTGGACACGCTAGACATTTTTAATCAGCATTTTATTTGGAGGCGGTAAAAGAACCATTTTTGGTTGGATGCACTTTTAAGTCATGCGACTGTTTAAGCCACCGTATGCACATTTGTTATCTAGGATTCTAGGCAATGCATGGATAGCATTAGTTTTAGGGCCTTAAAGCCTACTATTTTTTTTAGCTGTGTACAAATACTGTATTAGAAGCCATTATCCGCTTGCTTTATTGTTGAATTTTAATATTTTAGCACTTGACAATCCACACTAATCACAATTTTAAGTCAAAACCACACACCTGTCACTTCTGAGGATTCATGCTGGATGATTAGAACAGAGAAACTTAACGCATTTGACCTTATTTTATTCTTGCCTGAAGTGAAAAGAAGGGAAACATCTAGATGTTTAGCAGTTGGCTTTTGTTCTCTGCGGAAAACTTTCCGCATCATAAAAACTGCCTCAAAAGTTTGATCCAGAATTTATATTAGAAGTTTAACATACTTCAGAGCATATTTCCCAATTAAGTAACATTATTAACATTATTTTTCATAGTCATGGCTTTGCATCACAGTTAGCACCTTACAAAATCAGCAAACTGAATTTTATCGACATGCACCTTATCTTTATCCTTTAAGATTTTGGTTTTTGATTTTAATCAACTTTCGATTTCATCTACAAATTGCACATACCGTTACTTTTGTGAGTCTTCATGTTCATGAGGCATTTTTCGTAGTTGACCACCTGTGCATCCGCACACACTGATTGGTTGTTTTTGGTTCGTCAGAGTAACAATACCTAATTAAAATGCAGGTAATTTGCATAGATATATAGTATGTTTAAATAGAAAACTTCATGAAGGGAAAATTTCTCCTTCAGGTTGAAAGATAAGCATTTAAACTGCTTTCACCAACCTCACCTAAATAAATGCAACAGATTGTTTCTTCTGTACAGCTTCGATTGAATAAAGTTTTCAAGGACAATTTTATTAGCATTTTTTAAATTTTAAAATTCATTCTACAGTTAGTACGATACTTATTAAGCACTTTTGATAGTTGAGATATTTTTTTATTAAATCAGTAGAAAAACTAAAGGGAATTATCATTCTCAAATATGACAGAATTTATCATGCTTCATTCGTTATGTTAGTCTAAACATAAGGATCTAATAAACATGTAAATTTCACTACGCAATCTTATGCATGAAATTTTATTTTAATTATCAAGACATCACGATGATAATGTCAAGTGTGAATAAACTCATGTCATGGAACTATAAATTCCCTAGTAATATCGCAGTCAAGCGTTTTCAGTTGGCTTAATATTATGTCCAGAAACACTGTATAGCAGTAAGTACCACTGGTTATCACAAACGTTTATAAGACCATAGGACAGGGGTCGAAAACCCAGCCACGTGCTGCTAGTAAGACATAGAAAGCTATTTTAACTGTATGGAACTCGTCTTCTGAAATGTCATTAGTAGAGTTCCCAGAACATTTAAAATATTTTAGCAATCTTCTAGGTGAACGGACTGGAAATACAGGCGTAATGGTCATACTATGGTCCATAATATATTTTTGACCCGGCGCTTAATTTATGGACACGAACTACTTGTAGCAAAGTTTTTATTTGTTTTTCACTACCAAGATATAATTCATTTGACGACATTTATAGTGACTAGAGAAGGAATCTTTGACAGTTGATAGATTCCGTATTGGGATTTTGAAAAGTGTAAATAAAAGCTTTTTGGGATATCACAGCTCATAGAGGTTTATGAACAAATTAAAAAATCACACAGTCAACCAAAACTACTGCTGTAATTACTATTTTGATTCTACTTTTGATTTTGTAGTGCGTGGATTCAATTTTTAGTCGGCTGATGAAGTACAGTCGTCAGAATAATTATTCCCTAAGACGTTCTCACACCTTTTCTATGTCACTTGTGAGTGGTTTGAAACGTAAAACGTAAGACATAACCCCGAGATTTAGTACTGCTCCAGATCGGGTATCTTGTTAGATTGTGACTGATATTTTGCAAAAACGGTTTGACAAGTACTTCAAGAGCTAATGGCGTTAATGAAAAAGTGTTAAAATATATAAAACCCTCCTATTCTCTGCTTACAGTGCTGGTATTTTGTAATTACAACGTCACAACGGCACTGACAGTGTTGTACCTTTGTTGGAAACATTCTACTAAACGGAGACTTCATGGATGACATTTTAATTGTAATGAATAAAAATTTACAAAAGTGGACTTTCCTTCTCGTGGGCAACTTACTTTTGGAATAGATCCGCATCACCCTGACAGCATTTTTCTTGAGAAACATTTCACTGTTTTAAAAAAGAATGCTCAAAATCGTAACTGTAAATCACTGGCATCAGACAGTTAATTATGTGAAATCTTATATTCTAGGTGTGTCGAAAATACTTCTACCTTGAATTCAGGAGAACTTTTAAGAAAGAAATGAAGCCATTAAACATTATTCACTATCTCAATCTAGATACTTTGCATTGTGAAATGGATTATTAAGGTCTTTTGGGCGGTTTGTTACTGAAAGTTTACGCTTGTCCCTGAAAGTATTTTGCAGTCCCTTTGACCGAACTCCTATGGTGCTCTAAAGTAGTCACTGCAGTGATTAACCAACGTATTATGAATAGATTTTCAATGACATTTTACACACAACGATGTTTTTTGTTTTGGTAGTATTCTTCTATATATTATTATTATTAGTCCCTTGGGTTCCTAGTGGAACATAGGGCTTCAGTAGCACGCCTCCAGTGACCTCTGTTCTCTGAGATCTTTTGAACCTGGTTCCACGACAGCCCACAACCTCTCATTTCCTCCTCGCATGACCTCCTCCATGTCACCCTCGGACGTCCAACTCGTCGCTTCCCATGGGGATTCCACTCGAGGGCCTGACGCGTGATGTCCTCAGTCGGCCTTCTCAGTGCATGGGCAATCCATCTCCACTTCTTCCTGCATATTTGTTGCGTGATAGGTTCTTGGTTGGTTCGTTCCCAGAGTTCCTTGTTGCTTATTTTTTCTGGCCATCTGATCTTCAGCAGCGAGCGTAAGCAGTTGTTGATGAATGTCTGTAGTTTATTGGAAATCCCTTTCGTGACGCGCCAAGTCTCTGAGCCATACAAGAGCACTGACTTGACGTTGGTGTTGAAAATCCGTATCTTGTTCCACATGCTGAGTGCAGAAGATCTCCACACTGGTTTCAGGCTAATGAACGCCTGTCTTGCTTTTCCGATTCTGACTTTGACGTCCTCGTCCGTCCCGCCTGTAGTTGAAACAGTGCTTCCTAGATAAGTGAAGGAGGTTACTTCCTTCAAGTTTCTCCCGTTGACGGTGATTGGAGTTTGTTGTTGTTGTTGATGTTGGTGGTGCGGTATCTTCATCACTTCTGTCTTCTCTATATTCACCTGAAGTCCCGTCTTAGCTGCCTCTTCTGTCAACTTGTTAGTTTTTGCCTGCAGATCTTCAAGTTTATGTGACATTAGGCATAAGTCATCGGCGAAATCCAAGTCTTCTAGGTTCTTTTCCGTCGTCCAGTGTATCCCCCTCTTCTCGCTGCCTACTGTTTGCTGCATGATCCAGTCCACCACAATAAGGAATATCATGGGGGATAGTAGGCAACCTTGTTTCACTCCTGTCTTCACTTCAAAGGCATCACTGAGCTTCCCATTGTGGATTACTTGGCATGTGGCATCTTCATATAGTTGTTGAATGAGGCGGATAAAGGTTTGCGGTACTCCGTAGTATTGAAGCAGTTTCCAAATTACTTCTCGGTCGACGCTGTCAAAGGCCTTCTCAAAGTCGATGAAGTTGAGGTATAGAGCTGATTGCCATTCTACGCTCTGTTCTATGATGATACGAAGCGTTGCAATTTGGTCAGCACATGATTTGTACTTCCTGAAGCCTGCCTGTTCCGGTCGCAGTTTTGAATCCAGTGCGTCTTTAAGCCTCTCCAGGATGATGCGGCTTAATATTTTACTTGGGGTGGATAGGAGAGTGATTCCTCGCCAGTTCTTGCAAGCACTGAGGTCTCCCTTCTTCGGCAGTTTGACAAGGTAACCCTTCTTCCAATCGACAGGTACCTTCTCTTCCCTCCACACCTTCTGCAATAGTGGTGTGAGCATGTCCGCTGTTGTCTCTGCATCTGTTCTCAGTGCTTCTGGCGGTATTCCATCTGGTCCTGCTGCTTTCCCGCATTTCAGTAGCTTTATGGCGTTCAGACTTCCATTTTCGTTGGGGGATTTATGTTCACTTGTAATTCAGCGGCTGCAGGTGGTATTTCTGGACGAAGTGCAGGTGGTGGTCGATTCAAGAGCTTCTTGAAGTGGTCGGCCCATCGTTTCCTCTGTTTCTCTTCTTTTGTAATTAAATTTCCTTCTTCATCTTTTATTGGTTTCATCTGTGTTGGTCTCTTCCCTGATAGCAACCTGGTTATTTGATACAATGTCGTCAGGTCTCTCTTACCTGCAGCCTGTTCTGCTTCACTTGCCAGTGTGTCGTAGAAGTGTCTTTTGTCTTTGCGTGCACTCTTCTTCACTTCTTTATCCAGTGTTTTATACATTGTGCTCAGTTCCTCTTGTCGTTGAGCATCCTTGCACTGGTTTATCTTCTGCTTCACCATCCTCCTCTCCTCTATCAGCTTCCAGGTATCCGTCGAGATCCATTCCTTGTCTTCTTTCTTCTTCCTTCCTAATACTGTTGTGCAGGTTTCTTTCCACATAGCTTTCAAAGACTTCCAG